TTGATCGTCCCACTCGCGAGCCGAGCGGAATCCCACACCGAACCGCGGATGGTTTCTGGCGTGGTGGAGGTCTACGATCTCACCCAGGATCGTCATGAGCGGCAGGAAGTAACCGAATATGCTGTGTCCCGTACACTCAAAGTGCGGACCGCGCACGCGGCCGCTCGATACGCCGCCGGCACCGGTTGAGGCGTCTCCGCCCAGGCTAGGGTCTGTCGTGACGTGCGCGGGTCTGAACTCGCCATTCTGCCACGCCGTGTCGTCCATCGGCTGCAGCAGACCGGCGCACTCGAGGTCGAGGAGGAATAGCGGCCTGTTATAGCACAGGGCTAGATGGCGGTCGACGATGTACGTGAGCCACCATATCCTTCGGCGCTCCTCGCGCTCCTCCTCCGTGATGACGCCCGGGTGCCCGCTGCCTGCCAAGTCATCTTCAACCTCGCCGTCTGCGCCATCACCATCGTGCCCGTTGCTCTGGTTCATGGAGAGAGGGGTTGGCGGCAGTTCACGGCCAAGCTTCAGCTCCCTGGCCAAAGACCAGGCCGCATTCCACCACCGCAGGCTCGCGCCCTTGTACTCGCTCGCGGAGACGACTGTCGCGAGGTGGATGTAGGTAATGACGTCGTCGAGGGTGCCGGCGGCTCCGAATGGACCAGATTCGCCCGTCAGCGCGTCCATGCTGATTGACCCAGGAAGCGCAACGCCGAGCCCGCCAAGTGCTACGCCATCGATGGCGGGGCTGGTCACCGGTGATGTGTCCCCGGAAGGTGTATGAATGAGCGGCTTGAGAAGGCTGACGGTCAGCTCCAGCAGCCTCTGGCAGATCTTGCCCCGTGCTGAGGGGACGCTGGTCAGGAAGGGTGCATCGCTCGTCTGGGCTGCCACCCAGAGTATGCTGGCTAGCAGAGCCGGCTGGCATCGTCTCGGTTTGCTGGGGTGGAGGAAAGACCTCTTACGGAAGACGAAGCCCAGGACGTAAGGTGACATTGGGTGCATCTGTGCCGAGGACGAGGATGCGAAGTAGAGGTCGATCAGGTCGCATGCCAGAGCCGCCGGGATGAGGTTTCCAAGATGGGGCATCAGAGGATGCAGGACCGGGTATCGTAGTTGCTGTTGACCGGGGTGGCCGTAGCTGCTCGGAGGCATATGAGACTGGTATTGCGCCGCCGGCGGAGAGGACATGGACATCCACCCGGGAGACGTCGGCTCACCACCGAGGGGGTATGCGCTGATCGGGCTGGCTGCGATCCGGAATGACGCGCCGTTGGTATATGCCGTTGGGCTCTGGGTCTGCATGGGATACGGTATGTCGGGATATGCTGATATGCCACCCTGGTTTGGACCGTACGCTGCGTGGGCCGGTCCCGGCATTATGTGTGCGCCCAGGCCTTGCCTGTCGTATCCCCCGTGGACGCCCCCGTAGCCGTTGAGATCCATGGTTGTTGGGCTTTCGAGTTGATCTCTGTCCATCCCGTGATGAGCTGCCAGGTGGGCTTGGTGGCTCACCATATCTCCCATGCTATCGAGTGAGCCGGTCCTTTGGCTTTGATGCATGGCTTCCTCGCTGAGCTCGTCGATGGCCTTGCCGATGTGGCCGTGTTGAGAAGTCGTCGTGCCTAGTGAAGGTGCTGCCTTGGCGTTATTGGACTCGGACTGCTCCGAAGGCTGCCCATTGTCGTCGGAAGGCGATTTCGGGCCCTGATCTGCGCCCGTTGTCCCTGCTTGCGCGGCGGCTTGCGCGGCAAGGTCTTTTCGTGATGCCTTGCCTCTCTTCTTCCTCTCGCGGATGTACTCGCAGCCCAATCCGAATTCTGAAAATGTCAGTCAGTCTAGTCCAGTCCAGCCCAGCTCCCCCACGCCACGCCGATCATCTATTGGACTGATTCTTTCTTACCTACACAGTGGGCACAGGGATGTTGCCCATCGCACTTTGTACGCAGCTGGTTGCACTGATCACAGGCTCGACTGATTCTCCTACGAACGGGGCCGGATGTGCTAGAAGAACGACCCGCGGGTCCGCCGCCGTATGGGTGTTGACGGTGTTTTGTTGACTGAGGGCCTGCTCGCGCGAGGTGTGGGCTGTGGACTCCCCCAACCTGCTGTTGAATCTGTTGCAGCGCATAGTGCGAGCTCGGCGCGAGGGGGTCGACACCATTCGCGTGGGCATGGCCGTTGGGAACATGGTGGGCGTTGGAGAAGAGGGTGCTGGACTGCATGCCATGGTATGGCGAAAAGCGGTGGAGCGGGTTGGACAGCATCCTGTCTTCTTCGTGCTGGGACCAAGCCCGCTGTTGGCGATGTAGTGGCTGAATGGTGAAAGTGCTACTCGAACAACGAGCAACTATCTGCCTTCTCTCATGCAGATAGGGACGTGAATAAGACTACGAGATGGGCGACTGGAAGGATTCGAAGTGGTTAGACGAGTTATGTCAACCAGCTTTGGCGATGTTGCTCCCTTAGACTGGGGCAAGCGATAGATAATATGCGAGCCTTCAATAACACAAGGTGACTTCTGGTTCGGTCAGCACTGCTGTAGGCCGTTTAGGATAGTTGGGGGCGCAAAAGGGGGCGGGACGGAGAAGAAGGATGGGCATGGGGTATAGTAATATGAGCTAAACTGAGAACAAGTGGTGGGCGTGAGATCTGCAACGTCGTTGGAGAACGGCGCAGCATAGAGCAACGACAATCATGGCGGGGTTGATGTATAGACAGACGGCTTGGGTGACAGGGTAAGGAAGACGGGACAAGCGACAGGGTGCTCGAAGGAGTGCGGCGCAGAAGATGATTGAGCGAAAGAGAGCTTTCTGTGAAAGTGGAATATTGGGACCGAGACCCAAGTTAACTCACCCCTTGGAGATCAACCCGTGAAGTTTATGATTGTCGGTCGTTGCCGCAATTGGGGGAGTTCCAAATAGTTGAGTCGTTTGGTTGCGTCCCGTGTCTCGCGTGTTGTGCTGCGGCGGGAAGGGTATCTTGAACAATTGGTTGGTAAATCCAAGTGCGAGGTAGTAATATCAAGGCAATTTGGAAGCTTGAAAACAGTGGTTATTCCGAATCTGTATCACCAGGGTTGTATGCGACGTTGATGTTCGTTTCGGTGGTCTGGCTCGGAGCTCTCCTCCCTTCAAGTTCTCGATGTCCACTGCGGCTCTCTTCGACGGATGGCCTGCGCTCGAAGCTTGGCACGTATGTAGAGATGGTTCAATAGAACCTGAATGCTGTTCAAGCCGTTGAGTTACTGCTCAGTTTAGCTGGTCCGCTTGCTGTATGATAACGTGGACCATCGCATTTACACTGGTAGAATACTGTAAACGGCGGGATAAAAGGGCGAAAGGTGTGGAGGAGGGCGGCTGGTGACAGACAGGGCGGCGGCCGCAGAAGCAGCGAGAGGATGGATGTATGTACGGGACACGCGCGAATGATTCGAGAAGAAAATTAAAATTGAGAACAGGATGCTCAGCGGCAGCGCATGCGCATGTACAGAGAGACGTACAGACGTACCAACGGCGCGTCAGGTAAGGTTCTCGAAGGGGGGGAAGAAGCGAAATGGTGACTTTGTGGTTCCTCGGGCTTAGCTATATTATATGGGACGCTTGTACATAATAGCATGCGAGGACGGGGCAGGGTTGCAATGAGGGGAACAGGGGTGATGGCTCGACGATGGGCGACAGTAAGGTGAGGAGCAACGAACGGCATCGAGAGGAAAACTGGCGACGGGCGGCCATTTACGGGTGTGAATGTGGAGAATCAACGAGCATCTTTGGGCGAGGAACAGGGCCACATGCCCCAAAAGATGCTGCGCCGGTCTAGAACGACGGGCTCATCCCATCCATGGTCCATCCTCCTTCTCCCTATGATGGATCATCTCGTCCTGGTTGGAGCGACGGGGTTGTATGAGAGAGAGTGTGTGGCTCAGCATTGGGTTCGGTTGGTTGATCAACAATAGCAGAACAAGGTGAAGGTTAGAGCCAGCCCGGTGAGGGTGATGAACGCGTTTCCGGTCCATTCCTCTGGAAGGATCAAGGCATGACATGGCGGTGACAAGACGGCATGGACTGTCATCAAACCTTTTCCTCCCCACCGGGACAGGATCCCCACTGCTTCCATGGTCTTGCTCGGCTTTGTTTTTGGCCTGCCTCGGGACAATTACCTAGTCACAACATGGCAGTCACTGTTGCTTGGGTTAGGACGTCGGCCGAAGATAGCGTGGTGTGGCAGCTGTACTCCGTACGAAGTAGCGAAGAGGGCGGGGGTGTTGGCGCGGCACATTTTGGGCTCTGGGGGTAAACGAGGAGGTGGGAGAAGAAGATGGGGAATCGTCTCTTGGAAGCTTGAGTCTCTCTCGCTTTCTCCAGTCTTCAGGCTCGTCTCCAGACCTCCACCGGCGCGGCCCCAAAGTGGGCTGGGAGCAACAAGCTTGGTACGCTGGACTGTGCCATCCCGGCCAATAATGCCATTCGGCTTGGCGGAAGGCTATCTTTGCTTGTTCAAGTTCTCGTTCGGTCTGAGTGCAGCCGAGTAGCAGACGCACCGCCGTTGTTGGAACCAGTCTCGTTGGTCCGGTATAGCGACGAACACGCAGCCTCTCCCTCTGGCGTGCCTTGTACATAGGGCTTTGGCTTGCCCGCCCCCGCCGGTCTTAGCGGTTTGCTCTCTCATCCCTATGTATAGCGAAGTGCCGATATAGGTACAGAATTGTGTGGCGTTGTTCGCTGCTACGACGAAAACGGCAGACGTGAAGAAGGTCCGGCCATTTCGGAGCTACTCGTCGGTCGTCTAGCTTTGAGGCGCTATATGTGCCTTTCGTTATGCTTTCTATAGACGGGGTGACGGAGTCGAGCTTCCTTTCCAACATCTGAACCAACCGTAAATGGGCTTTTGCTACTTTTTGCTGGTCGTTTCCTCCCAGATGGCGTCACTACAAAGTGCCCAGCTACGAGCCGCAAGTCATACAGTGGACATGCACTTGTGTGGTGGAAGGGTCAACCGATGGCATTATCATGCTCACCCTCCTGATCCAAGCTTGCGATGGGATCAAGACGAAATCCTTCGCTCGAAAGAGCGCGCGCAAGCCAAGGGGACGACGTCCCTGTCGAAAGCCCCGGATTCTCGTTGGATACTTTGATGGAAATTGCCCAAACGGGAGCCAAGGACATGGGGGAAAGACCCTTTTGGTTGGCGTCTACTCCGTAGAGAGAATCTGTTGCCGTCATGACAATAGCGCACGGAATGGAGCCAAAACTAGGCGGAAGCGGACCTCTGGAAGGGTGGCGTTTACGGGTGGTTCTACAGCCTCTCGCCGTTTCTTCTGTCCGGCACGACATCGCTATCCGTCATCTGTCGAGCCGCGCCACATATGCAACCTCTACTGCGTTCACTGGAGATGAGTTGTCTCGTTTCCCCAGTCTGCACTCTCCAGGTTTCTGACGCAGGTGCTCGGTGCTGGTGGGTTGTGCTGGAGCTGTCGGTACATGGCAGTACAAACCCCCGTTCAGACGAAAGACGCATAGCAGGGGTCTGTGCGGTAGAGGAAGAGTTGACCCGACGAAGAGGTGTGCAAGGGACATGGGAGGAGGAGAGGATTGGATGAAGAGTACTCTGTAGAGACGGAGGAGTAGAGATGGAGGTTAGTATGAGGAGAGGGTACTTGGATGACACCGAGTCAATTTGAGTGCTGCTAGTCACGCGGAGGGCCCACTCCGAGGGCCCGTCCAGTGTCTTCTTTGCTGCATTCAAGGTCAAGTTGTCGCTGTTAAACATGCCACTTTGTATCTGTAGTCTTCAGGATGATCCTCCAACACTCTTCAGATGAAGTTTTCTCTTTACATCTAGAAACTCAAAGACTTTGTCAAGCTTCATTAGAGACAGAGATTGCCTTCTACCCCTTGATGCTCATGCTCTTCGACGGCGTGTGTGTGTTAAGAACAACATGTGGCAGTCGCTCCCCTGACAGCATCTTTGGGCAAACTCTCTTGTTAGCCCCCTCCCAAATTCCATCAAGCCTTCCTTCGAAGAAGCTTCTTCGTACACTAGACACGCGTCAACAAACTCTGGGGATTGGAAAGGAAGGTGCATCCCTCCGCTAGCTAGCATGTCCCCTTCAAGGTAAACTAGGACCATCTATACCGCGAACACTGCCACAGCCACAACATACCCTTAACAACCCCATCCCTCCGGCAAGATCGTCAAAACCAACGCCACAGTGATCACCAACCTGTTGGTGGTTGTGGTCTCTTTGCATCAAGTTGATTGACTTGCCTTGTTCGACCGTGGTGAGACACCGTTACTCCGTACGCTCTGGTTTTCTACGCAAGTGCGAAACTCACCACTGAATGTCAGAGCCTTCCTGGTCCAAGGCTCGCGATGACAATGACCCGTTTCCTCCATACGCACAATATCGGGGAAAGTCCCGAACGAAGACGCTTGCAAACCTTCAGCTCCGGTTCCGCAGGTCGAGTGCCGGTAAATCCAAGGGCATCCCTACTCCTCCGGACCCAACGCCAACGGCAACCCCATCGCCCCCGGCACAACAGAAGAACCCTTGGGGTTGCCAGAGTCAGCACCCTGTTGTCCGGTGATGGTGTTGACTTAATTTCAGCTAAGGCAGCTGTAAGGGGCATGCTGCGGCCTGCTTCAAGGGCTGCGCAATCGTGCCCAAACCCAAGAAAGGGTTTTAGGTTTTCCCAAATCAATTTCTACCCGTGGCGACGTCGACAGCAACTTGTCAGTCACAGCTGAGTAATGGGCAGAAGTCTTGCTTGTTCTCAGTGGATCAAGTCAATAGCAACAAGTCTTCTGTGTCATGCACAAGCTGGACCAGCATTAGACTCATCGAAAACGGGCTCCCGCATACCGTCGAGGTACCCAAAGGAACATCCAGCTTGGCTCTTCGTCATCCATCTCAACTGGCTCGCGTCCGCTTCAGATGCCTTCTGCAGGCTGCCACACCAATCTCACCTCCTGTACAGAATAGATGCCCAGTGACACCCTCGCGCTTGAGATGAGCATGGAGAAACGGTCAATCTGATCCGGTCCACTAAAACGCCTCCCACCGCTTCTCCGCACATGCGGAGCAAAGGATGTTTCTTTCTCCTCACCTCCCACACCCCGTTGCAGTCATCCCGCCTCCTCCCCACACCACGCACACCACCTCTTGGGCTGTTACCACCACCACAACCAAAGATTCCATTCGGTCCTGCCCGTGGGATACGCCGGGTGCGGGACGGTGCCGAATCTCTCGCAAGACTGGTCTTCAAGGTGCCATCTTCACTGTATCTCATTCTCGAGCTTCCTCGGCCCTTTGAATGAGGCACACCTGCTCGTCTTGCCGACCCGAGTGCCTCGGGTTTCAAGTGCCTCGGAGCAGGTTGAGTGAGCGTCACTTTCGCAACCTCTTCCTCAAGTGTGTTGACTTTTGCTGGCTATTGGATCTAGAAGGCCCGAGGTGAGCATCAGCTACGAGCCCTGAGACCAGGTATGGGCATCCTCCTGGACTGGCACGAGTTGAAGAACTGTAGAAATTGGAGGAGCTAGCTGACGGCGACAGTGAGAGTGCGTGTGGGGCCTTTGGAGAACTTTTGATGGAGGGTCGGCCCTTGGTCCACCACCACCAGCCATGAACCCAGCACCTATGATGACGGCCCTCTCTCACAGCCTCTCAAAGCTGGGGGACCTCCTTTCATCAAGCCGGTCTTGGAGTGACTACTACTCAAGTCACCGACAGACGAAAACCCTCTCCATCCTGGTCGATGTGGTCGAAATCTCGGTCGCGCACAAAGTTGGGTGGCGGGATGCCATCCTGTGCCATCCTGTGCCGTGTGTGTCTGGCTAACACCTCGCTACCAAATTTCGCATTCGAGTTTTGCAAAGCTGCCTGGGCAATCCATGACTGAGAGAGCAAGTGACCACAACCACCTGCGTAATCATTTCAAGGTTTACCATTTTCTCCTCAAGAAACATCACCTTCAGTGTATGGCATATCGTATTCTAGATGACTCCCCAAACGAACATGCTCATTGATGTTAAGCTCCCCTTTCCCTCGGAAAACAACTAGCAACGGAGGAAATCCGACTCTCTAACGATGACGGATGAACGAGAATCCGGCCAGAAGAGTATGGCGCCACCAAATTAGGTTGCTCAAGTGTGCCACGAGGTATTTAGCCTGAATACGGCACGGCGGTCGCGCGTGGCGCCATACCATAACGGTCGTCGGTCCGAAATTCCCCAAGATGCGAAAAGATCGGACGCTCCCCTTGTAACCTCTCATTCGTGGCTTTTGGATAGAGCCCCTTCTTTTCCTCCGCGAACCAATCGAGGCCCCCTGTTCTACCCCGAATCATCCACACTGCTCATATTACTCCAAACCCCAACATCACCAACCGCTCTTCAGATGTTCATGCTGTACGGAGTACATTGCTTGCCAACGGCAATGGCTTCGTTCTTTACTCTCAAAGTCTAGAGGCAGGTTTCTGTCGGCTCTGCGGCCTGCGTCAACATTGCGGTTTAGTAAGTGCTGCATGTCTTGGTCAGTAAGTACCTTGTTTACTCCGTGTCTCGGTACCTTAAATTCGGTTACCTTAGTACGACTCCTCTCAAGTATTCACGGCAGGTATGCTCTGGAACCCTGGTCTTGTCTCATTCCGTCCCCGACTGTATCGTACCTTTCGGATGACGGCGTCATCGTCTCCTTAGCTCATTTCCGTCAGCTAAACGAGGCTTCTTCCGTTCGCCCTTCACAACCACGTGGCAACGACACATGCCGTCTAGGCCTTCCAGTCATCTGGGGACATCGGCCGGTGAGCTAGTGTACCGGCAGATCGCCCTCATACCGGGCACTCTGCCTCGTCAGTAACTAGTCTTATGCTTACACCTTTGCCATCGCCGAAACTGAAGAACTCAAGCCCCGCATAGAGCTTCAAATACTATCTACCTATTTGAGACACGAGCTCAGTTTGCGGTTTCCAATCTGGTACGCGGCGGAGGCAAGTGCCCTGTCATCCGCTGGTATTCAAATCTCGTGCCGTCTTGGCTTAGCTAGGCTACCAAGAAATCCTCTCGACCAACAAATCAACATCAAGGGATCTGACTTCCATTGGCCACTGCTACTGTGACCGGTCTAAGCCAGAACGCCGCAACTCCACACATGTTGTTACGCTGCTCTGGGGGTAAAGTCAAGTGACGGCGAGTTGCCAACAGGATCTCGCGTAGCCCTGCCCTCAGGTCGCCACATACTCTGCAACTTGATGGAAGGCTGAGGACTATTCCACTCGGAGCAAGTTGCTTCACGGGCCCACCTACATTCTCAAAATCCTCGTATCCATGCCTGTATGATCCAATATTCGTTGGGGCCTTCGGCAGCTGGACCGCCCTTCCATCCAACGAGGATTACGTTCTAGATTCTCTCTCTGGAGACCCCTTCCCATCGTGTTAGGGCCGGACTGTCTAGTGACTTACACATTTCCTCCCATTTCTCCCAGATGTTCATCGACCAAGGAACCAATAAGGCTCCGATCTCGCTTGCTGGATCAAAGTTCCAGGGAGAGACAAGCGATCTGGGCCGCAGGTCCACTCCCGGCTTCTCGGGACCGGCATCATTCTCGGCCTCCTTAGTGGACTATCGGGGAGTTTCCCCGGCCCTTGCTGCATGTCGCATGAGACCACAGGCGTGAAAGTAGACTTTCGGGACGAAAGTTCCTCCCGTGACCCGTAACTCCAGTCTGCGCTGATCTTGAGGTTCCTTCACACCCGTGGGCCCAGCTTCAATCCAGGTCGTGGCAGGGATAGCGTTTCTTGACGAGAGATGGGGAAGCCGGTCTAAGAGATGGTACACCCATCCAAAACGAAGAAACACCATGATTTGACGGGCCGCCCACGAGCCGCTCAGTAAAGGAGGAAGCGGCATGCGACGGTGCCTGGTCAATGTGGGCAATGATGTGCTACTCTCGGGCGTCTAGGCCCGATCACACCTAATTGTTGCAACCTCAAGATAACCTGATTGGACCTGTCTAGATGATCATCCGATCAAGGAGCATTCACTGAAACCGTGCCGTTATCTACTAAGCCAACCGTCCCACGCCCAGTATTTAGTAGAAAATGAATCTATTGCGTTGCCACCACACGGCTTATCCGGGCCTGCTAACAGGACCCCTCATCAAGGGTTCTTGCTGCCAGACATAGTGAAGGAAGTCTCCAGATGACCATGAGCCAGGCCCAAGCAAGCTTCCGGCATTTGAACCTCATGACCTGCACTCAAAATCCGGGGTCGGGGGAAAGGAGAAATTTCACTGCATGCAGTGAGTGGGATGCTGTCTTTCCCCCCACCCACGTGCCGGCTAAAGTCGAATGTTGAGGCAACTCGGAGCTGAACTGATGCAGTCTACTCTATTTAGACAACGAGGAACTTTCGAAACGTCATTAGCGGGCAAGTTTTCCTCGCAAATGTTGTGGCGGCGTCTGTACTTATGCTTCATCTCAAAGCTACAACTAGGTGTCATGAGGGTTAAGCCGATAGTCGAGAATGAGAGAGGCGTTCTAGCTGAGAATCGTTCTAGCTTTGATGCCATTGTCTATCCTCTCAAAGTTGCTGGTGTTAACATTCTCCAGGGCACCGGACATGGTCTTTGCTAGACTTTGCTCAGATCTTGAGCATCCCAGCTTCGTGTTGCCGGCCATCGAAATGGATCAAATCGTCACGCAGCTGTTCTATCTCGCAACGCCGACCAACCCTGCGAGCTTCTAGGAACGATTCCTTCCGTAGACCTTTGATAGAGCAATAGATACTAGCACGCATTGAAAGCTGCCACTAACAAACTGAGATTCTCAAGATGTATGAGGATACACCCTGCCTTCTCGAATAAGCTTAGGCTATCAGCCTCGTTTGGTATCCCATGGTAGTCTCAAACTTGGATTCGGTTGATGGCGATGTTACACCCCGCATTCTTAACTCTACTACGGAGCCATGGCTCATCCATTGGAAATGGACTCAGTGGAATCACTTTAGCGTAAATAGAATAGTCGGAAGGAAGGGAATCCCTCTTGATCTTCCCCGTTAGGAAGCAATGATGATTGACTCTCGTGTGCTGAAGTT